CTTTTGTGAAGAAAGTTAAGCAAAGGACAGGAAAATCTATTCCCAATGTTTACTGCAGTGCAGGCTGTTCTGTAACCGTTTTCTCTGCAACTCTGACTTGCCAGAGTTTAAGTCCAGCAAGTACTGTGTTGTCAATGTAAGAAATCATATTGGTTTCAAATTGCCTATCATAGATAACAAAGGTTATCTAAATAATAATGATCGTGAGCAAAATCTGTCATTGTGCTGTCAAGTTGATTCTTCCAGAAATTCTAAAACCAGCACAGGGCACCAGCTCTAGCTCTGTCATGAATGACAGTTCACTGTTGTATTTGGCTTAATTCTGCTATATTTGATTTGCTCCTTAAGCTTTTAAAGCATAAACTTTAAGTCTATTTGTTGACTGTTTTTCATGTCCCACTCACCCCCAGTCCTCACCATCCCAGTAGAATAACTGAATTGTTTTTCATCCTAAGCAGGGTCATTTTAATGTGGTTTTTCTCTTCCAAACTGTTTTGATTTTTGGAAAGTTTACATGAAAGTTCTATGCCCCATAAAAAGTTATGTTTATTAGAGGTATATTGTAGGTACATTTTCTGGCTGGGAGAAATATTTTCTTTGTAGTGCCAGTTAAATAGGATATATTGGTATTACTGGAGATCTGTGTTTTTTTTCCTTGTGTTTAAGTGTCTCATTATTAACCCTGGGACTTTCAGTCATTCTGTGCTCTGGATACACAAGCAAACGCATTTCCAAGGTCTTGGAAGACATGAGATGTATTATCTCTTGGGACTTGTGATAATATCTATTGGTTATCATTGTTGATATAGGAAAATAAAGGGTAGGCTTTCATAATATTACTCTGGCTGTCATTTGATGTGTGACTGACTCTATGATCTTGCCATTACATTCATCTCTTCCTTATGACTGTCAAAGCATTTTAGCTTTGCACCTCTGTATACCCAGGATGTCTGTATGTATATTCATATGCAGATATGTGTGCATATAAATAAGCACAAACACACCTTATTTATAGAAAATGTATAGAATGTACATGGTTAAAATGTCGTCTAGCCATAAGGAAGAGATGAGGCAAATGACAACTTTATGTATCTAAATATGGATAGAAGATTAGAAAGAGCTCTTAGAATAGAGCATATCTTAACTGGAGGCCTTAAAATGTTTCTACTGCTGGATATCCCCATGTTCCTGGGGGGATGTCACTGAACCAAGAAGCTGTAATGCACCAGAAGTGAATTTTCCCAGCTTATAATAAACAATTTCTAGCTAACATTTTGATTTGGACTTTAGATAGAGCTATGCTGATAGGTTGGTAATTTATTTTTTCCTATGGGGGAAAAATATCTATCTGCAGAAGCTCTATAATCTCTCGTGGCATTCTATACAAGTGTTTTTAATCTATTTGCTTTGAGCATGTATTACCATTTGCCAGTGATTGCAGCTTCAATGAAAGGTCTGAGTGTTGTCTATTCACCTTTGCTGTAAGAAGCGATTACCTTTACATATTAATATGTCCTTGCAATTTTCCTTTTTATTTTCTTTCTCCAAACATGAAAGCGAGCACTTTGTAGAGGGAAGAACTATTCCTTTGTCAGAAGCTCTGGTAATTAACACAAATAAGCCTCTCCTTGTTTGATAATGATGGGTTTATAGGTAGAGTGATTGCTCCCTTAGATAGGAAAAACTCGAAGCCTCTGTGCGAAGTTCCTGTGGTGGCAAAGTCAGGCAGAGGGGAGGTAATTTCTGTAACTGGTGGATTAGCTGGCTTTTTCTCTGCACTTAATCTAGGCTGCCTACAGAGTGGGGAGTGCTGCACAATTTGCCTCTGGAGCAGAGATAAAAAGGGAAGAAAAATACAGTGGGGGAGAGGAAAAAAAGCGGGATTTTGTCTTTGTGCTGGTCAGAAATGATCCGGTGTGTCGTGCTCTGCTGCCTTTTCAGGAATCTAGAGTTTCATGGGATATATTTTTTAGCTTCCAGGTGTATACGAGCAATTCTCCCACCCCCTGCTGGACTTTGTATTTCATGTTAGTGCTCTAGGAGTTTCTGCTGGGTTCCATCCCTTGCAGGCTGTGCTCTGACTGATATGAGCCTGTCTCTGTGACCTTTCCTCCCAGCTTGTACTTTGTTGTAAGGTGGAACAAAAAACTGTAGGCTGCCGGAGTGGCCTGTTACTATGGGTAGTCCCATTTTACCCTCTTTTGTACATAAAAGAAGCTACCCTTCTGTGAACATGAAAAAGCTACATCTTGTGTGAACTCACTGCTAGTTCAGCTGATGGATTAATACATATGTTAATTATATGACTGAAAGAAGGAGGAATATCCAGATGTTTCCTCAATTACCAGCAGGGGATGAACTAACCTAAGGAAGAGGAGAGTTGGCTGAACTTTGAAATAGGAGACTCAAGGAAAGAGTCCAGGCAGTATCATTAGTATGTTCTAAAACAATATGATCAAATGTCCTATATTGTGTCATTATCAAGTGTCTCTCGTGCCTCAAAAGATTTAGAGGGTTTCCTGAAGCTTAGGTGCTCCTCTGAATCAGGACATCTTGGTTTCCAGCCCAGCCTCCTGCAGGAGAAGGTGGTTCACCATGCAGCAGAAGACTTCTGCCTCACTGCTTTCATAAGCACACTTCCAAAGTGCTCAGGAGCTCCAGAAAACCTCTCTTGCCAAGTTAGATTTCTTTGCATCTCAACAGTACGTGCTTTGAGACTTTCATACTGCTTTTCTTTCTTGATTGTTACTTTTGCAGTTCTGCTGCCTGCACATTTTATAACTTTTGTACTAATAAACTCATCTACTTTAACTACTATTAATCTAGGCATTTTGAAACCACTGTGGATATTGCCCATTTGCTCTTGAACGTTTTAGGAATCATTAATGTGACATGATGTAAATCTGTAAATGAAATATTACCTCTCACATAAAATCTGCATAGATTTTTGCCCTGGTTATTTTATAGTCTTCTCTCTGTGGTCATTTTTGTATCATTAATGTCTTTCTCCTTGCCTCTTGAATACAAAAAATCCTACTAATTATTGAACAGTGTCTCCAAGTTCAGCCAAATAAGGATTTAATGACTTCTTGGATTTAAGACTTCATCCATCTAATATATGATACACAGATTTTAAATGCTGTTCATCGAGTTGAACTATCCTGAGAATGTTCATAAATTGATGTCATTTTCTCTTCCCATCTGTAATCTGGAAACAGAAAAAAATAAATTACCCTGCTTGCCATTTTTTCTGTTTCATTTGAACACTGCAGGTAGATACATTTTTCCCCTCCCTTCTGATGTATCAATATGCTTTAGCACTAGAGGTCTTTGTAAGTTGTGATAACCTTAATTCACCTCTGATTATTATGCTGAGTAAACTCCAGGATGCCTAAAACTTGAGATAAGCACAGACTGCTGCAAGTGTTTAATACAAAATATTTGAGTCTGGGGAAATTCTCTAGGATTTTTTTTCTCAGCCAGGAATTTCATAATAGGAATTTTCTGTGTGGGAGAATTCATTTTACAAAGTAGATCAATTGAACCATTCAAAAACTTTTAGTAGTCTTGAGAGGGGAATTAAAAAAGAAAAAACAAACTTACTTCTGCATTATTTTCTTTGTATCTGCTTTTAAATATCTTAGAGGAGGGACAAGATGGCATAGATCACCAAAAAAACTTGGTGATGCTTGGGGCAGAGGCCATGATTCATTTTGCCTACTGCGTCTCAAAAGAATGCTGATTGATAGACTGAGCACAGCGATGTTTCATCACTATAAATCTGAAACTGCAAATAACTTTGGCTTTGCAGTGACTTTAGACTTTGAGCTGATAGAATCATGAGACTGCTGAAGTGAATGGACTCGTGATAAATTTACACCAGTGCAATTGAGAATAGAGTTTGATTAAATATTTGTTAAAGATAATACAATGATTTTCTGCTAGTTTTTTCTGCAAGTCCTCTGGTCTTTTTAGTGTAGTTTCCAATTATTAAAAGAATTTGCTTAGTGAATGTGTCTGTTATATGATTATTTGATTATATGATTTCTGATTAGAGGAAATGGTAGTGTCCTTCAGAACGTCTTTTATATGAAGTTAGGGAAGTCTTCAATATACCAAATATTCTCTGAGTTCTGCTTTGATTGGAAGCAAGATTCAAATGGACCATTAGTTTCTAGGTGAACTTAATGCCTCGTATGATACCTGTGTATAATGCATCACATTAATGGAAATGCCAACAGACCTGTGGAACCTTGCCCTGATTTCTTTTCAGTAGCTGTCATAATGCACCAGAGGATGTTGTGATTGATGCAGTATCAATAAAAATACTGAGTAACCTGCCCAACTTATTTTGCAACCATCCTAGGGAAATAATTTTGTGGTTAGGACTCAAAGGATGTTACCAAAAAGCTTTTAAAACCTTTGCTCTTACCAAAAGCTTTTCAAACCTGAAACCAGCTTGCCTTCTCAGCAGAAACAGGGGAAAAGAAGTAGTCATAGTAGGCTGGAAAGAGAACTCAGTTGGGATTACAGAAATAATAAGGTGAAAAGTAAAATAATTAGTCAGTAATCAAATCAGGTGTATTAAGCATCACATGATGCTTCAAAGCAGAAAAGGATGAATTGTCATTTCTGGTAATTTGTATTATTATTCAGTAATAGATAATCTCATTTTAAGTTCTGTTAGATTATTTTGAAAATCCATTATAACAAAATTTTATAATATTCTTAAGATTTGAGACTGCTTAATAGTATTACTATAAAAATTAAAAAGTTAGTGAAGAAGACTATAGGTCTAGTATGAGGAGGCTTGTTGTGGGAAACAAGCATCTCTTCAAAATGGCTTTGCAAGGCTTTTATTCTCTTCACTCACAATAACCAAAACCTGCCTGATCCTTAGTATTTGTTCGTTCTAAGACTAGAAAATCTGTTTTATTGCAGAACATGTGATTTATGATTATTTTTTAACCTTATTGTATTTTTTTCCTATTTTATTTTAGGAGTCCCCAGAATAAGCATGATTGCGTGCAGCAAAACTTCCTGTGGTGAATGAGGAGGACCTCCTTTTGCTGACCTCAGATTGCATCCAAACTCCTTTGCAAGTATCCACACAAAAAGGCTTTTCTTTCATCCTTTCCACTGGACTTCAGGTAGGAAATGGATTACACATTCTGTTGGTCTAGATGATGAAAGGATGCAATGTCCACCTGAGTGACTCATGGCACAGAAATGGTGGGGACATAAGCAAGGTCAGCTTCTGCACAGCTTCTGTCTAAGCAAATTCAGGTGCTATTTACTACTGTCCAAACAATTTAGTGTTTCTCTTGGGTTGCAGTGTTATTATCATTAGGAGTTTGGTCACGCAGAATTGGGCCTCTTTAATTTTTGATGCTTAAATATTCTTCCTATTGAAAAGGTAAAAGGTAGCTGAGCTCTCTTGGGAAAATCTTGCTCCAGTGTGAGCTAAACAAACTTATGTGGTTATAGGAACTCTGTATCATTACTTTCATGTGCTTTGAAAGGTGGTTTCCTCTCTATGGGCTTCATGACCAAAGCTGTGCTTTATGAGTGTGCCAAGGCTGCACTGCTGTGCAGGTAAAAAGGGCATACTTGAGAAGTATTCTCTGATCAAAATAGGGTGATCTGGTGATAGACCTAGACATACATTTACTATAGCATTTTTTTTAAGTATCTCTCTGTCTAAGGTTCTTTAGAATAAATTTCTTCTAATGCCACTTAAAATCCAAATAAATATGCATTGGCATGATTGAAGCTGAAGATTTGTAGCTGTCTGCCTTTGTAGAATATCAAAGGCATGAGAGGAAAAGGTTTGGCTCAGAGGAAGCCGGGACAAGGAAGAAAGGATGCAAACAGACATCAGACTAAGTACAACTTTCCAGAATTGAATCCTGCAGGTCAAATTAGAAGCATATCTGTCAAGGTGTTCTTATCATATATAGAACAGCTAATTTAAACACCATTATAAAAAGTTAATTAAGCATAATCTGAAAAAAACTGAAGTATAAAAGTAAAGGACTGAAATTAATAGTGCAAGAATGAGATTAATTCAGTTTTAAACTAATGGTTTTTACATGATATCTTCCATGAAACCATAGGCTCATTTGGGGACTGCAGGATAGTAAATTTTTATCAGGATTTAATTTTGCTTAATTTAGAGCAGAGTTCTATAATAACATTTACCATGGAATACTCAAATTAGGTTAATTATGCGTGTCAGTTTTTGTTCATAAATCATTTTTAAAAATAGACTTGGGACACAAGGTGGGTAATCCACTACATGAGTGATAATGTATTTTAGAGTGGTGTTTTTATTGGGATGCAGCAGAAACGGCTGGTGCTGTTCATTATGTATTTGTAAAGACCATAAAGTCATAAACAGCGTCAAATTAATCCCAGGATTAAGCAGCTCAGGTTGTCCCAAATGACCATGAATCAAATCCAAAATATAGGAATTAAGGTATTCCTTGGAATTAATATGCAGAACATGACCTGACTGTGTTGTGTTTCTTCACAGTGAATGCAAATAGCTTTTATAGGAAAGCACACATCAGTCATTCTATATCACCTTTTAAAACCCTTTCCAAGAGCGTGGGCATTCCATGTAATGTTCTTCAACAAGTAGACAACAAAAGAGAAACTGTTTGAGTTGCAGGAGTCCTGTTGACAGGGTTTGTAGTGGTTCTAACTGGAAAATTAATCAATCCCCTGAAACACGCTTTTATTAAAAGATGTTTCATTTTATTGCTGATGCCGAATATGTGCTGCTTTCTACAAGGAATGTGTGTGCAGGCATCATCCTCTTTTCCAAATGCAGATAACTTTGTTTTAAAAGTCAGTTCAGCTGCCAAGTGATTGCAGTGTACTTACCTGCCGCATTATTTGCAAATCTCAGGAACTTCACAGCTACGAAATGATTAGTTAAGGGACATCATAAATCTTACCACAGCTCACACAGTCGGCACATTGGCCTGAATCCAGTCCTTGCAGCCGGCCAAAACACAGTTTTTACATGAGGCAGAAAATGAGAATTTGAATGGCTTTGCGTTCTGTCAGTGTGAAAAAGTTACCAGTTCTACCCATAGCGTAGCCCGGGGCAGGTTCAAAGCACCCTAGGTTGCAGCTTTGTAGCCTCAGGGGCTATTCTAGAAGATAAGGAACCCTATGATACTCTTGTCAAACAGCAACTTTCACAAGCTGGATGCTGGGGACTAGGAGGAGGGCTATTGTGTGACTAAGCTGGCAATGCTTCACAGGAGAGTAAACTCATCATGATAAGCAAGTCAGGAAGTTTGACAGAAAGCGGTACTAAAGCCAATTTAATGACCTGCAGTAGGAGCAAGAAATCTGATGTATTTTTCTGATCAAACATAAAGTAATATTTATTTCCTCACAGAACCTTCTCTGGCCTATGGTTATGAAAATGAGATGTGGCATTTTTTCAGCATGATTTCTATAGTGAAGCATATTCTTTCAAAGGGTAACCATTAAAGTAGGTGCATCTGGGTTGGGGGTCCAAGAGTGCTAATTTTGTCAGATATGGCAGCTTCTAAAAAGCCTCCAAGGTAAATTCAGATTCTAACAGTGGATCCCCAGAAAGTAGATTGGGTATCTGACTCAGTCATCTATCTATTGATTTATCTGTCTAGTTTATCTAATCAGCTTCATCACCTGAATCTTTTAAAATCTAATTTACTTTATCCATCAGTGTTTTTCCTAACAATCCCCCTGCTGTGTTGTTTTAGCGGGGAAGCTGGAATCAATAAATGAAATGGCAAAAAGGAAGAAAAATTACTTTTTATTATTTTTATTTTTAATTTCACTTAATTTTCCTTCTGTTTTTTTTTTTTACTTTTCTTTCTTCATAGTACACTAGAGAGGCCTGGTGATTTTTTTCTCTTGTTCTTCTACCTAAATTTGCAGTTGCCAAATGCTTGTATTTAATGGGACAATTGCCAACACCCCACAGAGCCCAGATTTGTCTGTGCTTTGTGGGTAACTGCATTAACTGCAGTGAGATTGCAATACCCATTTAGGAGTTATGGCTCTAATAATATTGTGGAACATGCTTTTGGGGATGATCAGAGGATATGGGACAGAGAATGTGTCCACTCAGAGCATACATCCATAAATGCACACACAGACAAATTGATCTTTTCCGTGGAGTAAATGGACATGGTGCAACAAAGAGAAAGGAGAGAAAAGATAGGATGCTGCTTTTGCAAAGGACTCAACTGTCTCCTGTGTCTGCAAATACAGAGACACCACCATTTCATAGCAGTCATGAAAGGAAGCTAAAAGAGTAACTTGTATAGTGAAGTTGTGTCTCATTCTCACCACAGGGTGCTGTAAGGTATCCTGACTGTCTGATTGTGTCACAACATGGACCTGCTAGCCAAAATCTTTGTCAGTCATGTTGGTTTGAGATTGAGAAGGGAAGCATCACTCGCTGATGGAGCCTTTATACACAGAATCAGTCTCTGAAGACACTGCCCAGGGGTTTTTTTTATTCCATGACTCCCAGGCAGCCCATCTCTACATCATTGAAATGTCACATTACCAGATGGGTGTACATCAAATGTGTGACCACACAAACGGGGCTACCATTGGTTAATTATTAATAGAGTGATTTTGTGTGTTTCTTTGGTTCTCAAATAACCTGAATCAGTGAAATGTGGGTGGCTAGCCCTCATGGGATAGGACTGCACTGAAATTTGGAGGTGTGATCGCATCACTGGGGACAATGCCCAGATACCTTTTAATCTAATTGAGAATAAGAGCGAAAGCACATCAGCACAGACTCAGCATGACAGCCAGCTCCTGCCTGCATCCTGAATTCCTGGAGAGCTTGTTCAGCTCCTGCCCAGCTTCTTGTCACTGTTGCTGTTATTTCCTGAATTGGCTCATTTGAAGTCTGTGCAGACATGTCTACGCACATTGCACTGAAGACTGTACACATACCCCTAAGGCTCCTAGGAAGAGCTGGTTAATGATGTTTATTCCGCTCAAAGACTCTTTAATTTAGCCAGCAATGGCATAACATGATCTAGTGTCTGAAAAGCAGAGTTAAAAGCATTCAAATTGGAAATAAATGGCCAGCTTTTTAGCAGTGAGGCTAATTAATCATCGGCATAGTTCATCCAAATAGTAATTTCTTTTTTTCATGTAGCTATTGATGAAGGGCATGTAATTCTCACTTAAAATATAGGAATGTCTCACTGGTAAAACTCTTCTGTAGTAAAGGAGCTATTACAATTACCTAAAGAACATCAGACCCACGTTCCACTTCAGCAGTCGGCTTTAGGGCTTTGCGCAGGAGTGCACACATAATTGCAGGTAGTCTATTTCAGGCCAGAAGATGGACCAGTTTCTGTTCTTTGTCCCTTTTGATCTTCTAGGAACAACTGGTGGGCTCTTCACAGGTGGTAGCAAGCTGTGCAGTTTCATTTCCATTCCTCAAAACCCCAGTCTCGAGGCTTTTGTGCAGAATCCCTGAAGCGCTGCTATTTGTTGAAGCATTCATTGTGGGAGACAAGGAGGTGTGTGCTCCTCAGGGCTTTTGCCATGAGAGATTTATGTTTGTGTTTATTGGAAAACTCTTCACTACTGTGAAAGAAGTGTAAAAAGTTGAATCTAGTCCCAGAAGTTTCCCACCTCCCTCATGCTACTTTAGAACTAATACATTAATGTATTTACTAAGAAACAAAATCATTATATATATTGATTCTCACCTTTTCTTACCCAAACCTTTCTATTTTCAATTTATTTTCTCTCCCTGTAGCACACTGCTAGCTTTTGTCAGATACAAGGCTTCACTGCTGAAATAATGTGCTATTCACTACCAAGAGTCTGATAATGGGTAAAAGATCAGCCATCTCTGAAAGTGGTTTTGGCCTTGAAGAGTTGTGATCTTCTGTAATGAATACTTTTTATGGTACATAATGTGTCTTGTCAAATTTGAGAAGGCAGGGGAGGGAATTAGAGCAGACCTTCCAAAGGTTGTATGCAGCTGCTGTTTTCTTCCTCCTTCCCACCCTTTCCTGTCCTTCACACTGAAACTCCTTGTTTAGACTGATGGCTCATGTTTCCCATGTCCTTCTTGCTCTTACCTTTTCAGAAACTTACTCACTGTTCTCTCCTTTTTGATTTTGGAGCTGGTTTCCAATTTGTTCCTTACTTTTGAAGAGTAAACACATTCACATTTCAGTGCGGTTGCTTTCTCCCTCTCAGTACTTGCCCAGCACGTTTGTATTTTGTACCTATTAAACTAAACTAGATTTTATTTTCTCAAGATGAGATTTTGTTCTGGTTCAGATGTATTCATTGTGTGCAAACTTCTGGTGGTAGGTAGAAAGTTGTGAATAACTTTTATTAATTGGCTGACATGATGCAACTTGGTTTTGCATGTAATTTGTCTCATTTCACTACCAAATCTCAGAAGACTTACCTCTACTTAAGCCAAAATCCTGCTCACCTTAGGAGAAAGTGAGAATTAAATCCCAATCTATCTTAATGAGTCTTGAATGAGAGGCAAGACCCAGGGCACTCTGCACAGGGGTGTCATCAGTTGCCTATATTGCTAACTCATGTTGAAATGTTCTTTTTACACACACCTACAAACCTTTATGAATGCACCAAG